GGAGGGAGAGAGAAGAAGCCCAACCATTGAACCCCGGGTTCCCAGTATGAAAATCAGCCAAGGAGACAGAAGAAGCAGCCAGAGAGATGGGAGGAAAAATCAGAGACTGGGGATCCTGGTTGGCTTTGAGGAGGAAGGAGGGAGTGACTGTGACAATTGCCTTTGGCAAGGCAAGAAAGAAGGCTAAAGACTGAACACTTGAGGTTACTGGTGACCTTGCCCAAAGCAGTCTCCCTGGGGTTGGAGGAGGGGAACAATTGGAGAGGATGGGAAGAGAGGCCGTGGGGTTGGCTGCCCAAGCCATGGACAAGGTCTGTGGTAGTGGGAGGAGCAGGAAAGGGGGCTGGACCTGCAAGAAGAAGGGAAGGCATGGAGAAAGAGCTCTACTTTTACAATGGAGGGATTAAGGTGTCTGCACTGGTGGGGACTGGTGTCTCAGAGAAGCTCAACGAAGGCAGGGAATGGAGGATGGCTGGGAGAATAGAAGGGAGGTCTGGCCCAGCCAGGACCTGGGGCAGCTCAGAAGCTGGACCTCCCTGGGGCTCCTTTTCTCCCCTGTCTGCAGGAGAGTAGGGGGGCTGAGATGCTGAGATTTATGCACTTAAGCAAAGCTTTTGGCCCCAGAGAAACTAGGCTGGCTGTGGTCTCAGGAAGGAAGGAGATGTCAGGGCTCAGGACAGGACTAGGGACTAAGGGAAGGCCCATGAAGGCTGCCCTCTGACCCTGTGTTTCAGCCAGTACTTACTTTGGGGAGGGTGATTCAAAGGATTTTCAAAAAAGTAGAGCAAATGCCTGTGAAGGAAAAGTATCATGAGTTTCAAACATTTTGGGGACCCAAGTCAACGTGAACTTAATTCCATTTATACACAGACTTTCTGAAGCCATCTCATAGTGACTCTGAAATTGCCGTTAACTGAAGTATAGAAAAAAACAAAACACGACACAACAAAAAAGGCACTAGAGGTAGACTGGTATACTCCCCCGAATGGGGGAGGCTGATCAGGCAATAAAGGGACACCAGGTAGCATGTTAGGGACAGGTTTTATGACATAAATAATGAGTGAACGCCTGTTTTCTCTAACCCCTTCCCCCATTTAAACTGAAGCAGGAGAAACTGGAGCTAGACGCAGTGAGGAACTTCCTGAGCTGGTGAACTTCCTGTTAGTGAGGACAGCACCAGATCCTCCTTCCTAACTGTTTAAGAGACCGGGGGCTGCTCAGAGTCAGGGGGCTGACCGAATTGGTCCTCTGGGATTCTCCCTTCTCCAAGGCTTGCAGAAGACGGTCAGTTCAGAGATGGGGCTTTCCAGCTGCTGGTGGGGGACAGCGCACCAAGCCACATGGCTTGGGTTTGCCTCTCCCTCCTAGTGTCCACAGGACTCTGGCGTCACTAGCCCGGATGTGTATGGCTTGAGTGTCCATCAGACTGCTGCAGACTTGGTGTGTTTGGGAAGGGCCCCTGCTGGTTCCCTTGATGAGCAGATCTGTGGGTGTGTCTCATTCCCCAGAGGGCCTTTCAATGAGGGTCATTGTGCACACACAGGCTTTGTGCCAGAATGCCAAGAATGACTTTGTTCAACGTGGCTGGTTGGCCAACCCTAGCTTCTGGCTGTCCTTTTGGGATTTTCCCTGGAGGTGGGGTCTGTGGACAGATCTACGCCTGCCAGGACTGTGCCACTGGGCTTTTGCTCTTCCTGTTCAAGCCTGCCACGGATGACTTGGCTGTGCCTGCTCTCCCACACCTCCCTGGCCAGCTCTGATGAGAAGAGGGTGGTCTGGGCTCTCCTGATGAGGAGGTAAGAGCAGTTGTTCCTCTGCGTCATCCTCTGGGTGGTGGTGACCGGCGTTATCTTCGCTCAGCTTAACTTTCAACCTGCTTCAATTCCTGGCTACACACAGGCTCTCCAGGCCTTCGTATTAGAGGGAACCCACTGACCCTATTTCTGGGTTCTTCTCACAGGGAGGCTAGGTGGGTGGTTAGTCTCCCCAGGACCTTGTGGCTGTGGTGGTGGGGGCTGGTGTTATATCCTTGTCTGGTGTTTTCATGGCTGAAAAGCACTGCAGAGACAGCCCAGAGCGTGTCCTGCGGCTGCCTGTCCTTTCCTCCCTGTGCCCTTGGCTCCTGTGATTTGAGATGGGTGCAGAAAGGAGACCTATTTGTCCAGGGGGCACGGGTTGGGTTCCTGGTTTACAGCGGCCTCTGCAGTGTGGATGCCTTCCTTCCCAAGCTGCTGGGCTCACAGGTAACCTCGCTGTCTTGGTTCCCCCATCTGGCCAGCACAGGCCTCAGCCTGCTGACCTCGGCTCACCTCGGCTACTGCACAAGGATGGAAACTTCCAGTCTTCCCATCCTTGTTTTTTTTTTTTTTTTTTTTTTTTGGAGTTTTGTCAAGGGCACGCGCACTTGCCAGAGAAAGAGACAGAGAGAGGGGAAGTGAGAAATCACCCTCTGGGGGGATGGCTACACCACAGTCCCTTATCATCCATTCTCCTCTAGGGATTTGGGGCATACACACACACACACACACACACACACACACACACACTTGGCATGTTTTTTAAGATGCCTGGTCTAGGACTTGAACCATGCTGTTCACAGGATCTTGGGCACACATGCCTGGTGTGATTCTCAAGCCACTGGGTTCAGGACTCGAATTGCGGTCAGTCATGTGAGAGTCCAGCAACGTAACCGCTATGCTATCTGCTGCCCCACTCCCTGGTGAATTTTGATTCACGGGCATTTCCATGTTGCCTCCGTTGGACCTAGATGGTGCCAAACCTAGGGATACCAGGATTAGTACAACCCGAGCTCACCACAGGTCAAGCAGGAAGTGAGACAAAGACGTAACCGGAAAGACACAAAGCTCCTGGCCTCTGGGCGTCTGCTCCCTTGAGTTCTGAGAACATCCCTGATTTATAAAAAGAAGCAGGCATCCTGGGGTGAGCAGATGTTGTAATGGTTACATCGCTGGACTCCTGCATAGTTGACCACAGTTCAAGCCCCAGACGTGGTGCCTTAGGTACGCTGGGTGCGTGTGCATGCGTATCGAAGATCCGGAGAGGAGAATGGAGGAGAAGGGACTGTGGCATGGGATGATTTCTTGCTTTCTGTCTCTCTGTCTCTTCAGTGAGTACACATGCCCTCTACCAAAGATCTCTCTTAAGAAAAAAAAAGCAGACATCCCTCTTGTCCATGTCTACAGAGTTGACTTTATTTTCTCTGGGCATTGTACCAGCCCTTGTCCCAGAACCCCATGACAATCACAGGACAAGCTGTCCATACAGAGAGATTTTTTTGTGCTGCTTGGGGAACCTCCCAAGGCTTGAAGCTCCTGGAAGTTGCTTCCTCTCAAATTCTCAGATAGCTGGGCCCAGAGCAAGCCATTGACAACATGCAACTGTGACGCATGAAGTGTGATGGTGAGGGCAAGGCAAGGGGGTGAGGATATTAGGGGACATGTATGCACACACATGTGCATGATGGGGGAGTGTTGACAGGGAAGTGAATGCACCAGTTAGAAACAGCTGTGTTTGCACGATGATTTTTCATTGAACCTAGGTCGAGATCTTTATAGCGATGTTGAGTCTACCCCTTTGGGCGGCAGTGAGTTATATACACAGGAATGAGCTTGGGGTTTCTGTGGGGAACTCAAATATAGGGGAGTTAAAGGAATGCATTCTGGAGTCACATTGCTGGCGTGTGTTCAAATCCAAGCTGCGCCTTGTCTAACTGTGAAAAACTGTATAAATCACTTAGTCTCTCTGTGGCTCGGTTTCCTCATCTGTAAAATGGGACTAACGTTGCTGGCGTGTGTTCAAATCCAAGCTGCGTCTTGTCTAACTGTGACAAACTGTACAAATCACTTAGCCTCTCTGTGACTCGGTTTCCTCATCTGTAAAATGGGACTAACCAACCATGCACCAACTTTACAGTGATTGGCTGAGTTAAATAAATCCAAGGGTCTGGGACCAGCAAATGGTATAGTGGTTACGTTGCTGGACTCCCACATGGCTGACTACGATTGACGTCTCGGACCCTGTGACTTGAAAACCATGCCGGGTGTGTGTGTCTGCATGCGCAACATCCTGGGAGGAGAATGGAAGAGAGGGGATGTGGTGTGGCTATCCCCCCTAGGAGGTGATTTCTCATTTACCGTCTCACTATCTCTGTCTCTCTCTCTCTCTCTCCAGTGAGTGCACATACCCTAAGGCAAAAATATCTTAAAAACAAAAACTATTGAGGGGCCTCAAAAAATTCATGGCCAATATCTATCCCCCATGGGAGGTGACTTCTCATTTACCGTCTCACTTATCTCTGTCTCTCTCTCTCTCTCTCCAGTGAGTGCACATACCCTAAGGCAAAAATATCTTAAAAACAAAAACTATTGAGGGGCCTCAAAAAATTCATGGCCAATATGTATCATGAAGAAACTGTGCATAGGTTTCAAAATGTTTTTGCACCAAAATAAACGCCTACTTTCATTCCATTTTCCCGTGAACTTGTAGGTGTCCACTGTCGTTGCCTAGGAAAGCATTATATTTCTATCCACACAGGGAAGCCCTGTAGAGTAATACCTGGTATGTCATAGGCACTTCATCAATATTTGTCATTACTGAAGCTGCTATGGTTTGGGTCCCATCGGTGTGATTGAGTCTTCTCACTCTGCCTTGAAGAGAATTCATTCCCTGATCCCTTGAGAGACATTACTTCTAATATCAGCTCAAGCCTTTTTAAACTCCTCAAGCCATGGGTGTGAAAGCTATCCAGGAGTCTTGATTTAATTCTTGGCTGCTAAGCTCTCTGTGAGACCTTGAGCCCGTTTCTTGCCTTCTCTGGGCCTCCGTTTGCTCATCCATGCACTGGAGAGCTTGCATTGGATAATGTCTAAGGGTAGACTGATGTCCGCCTTGGACCTGAGCTAGGGCTGACTCACCTCACTCCCTCCGCTGCCCCCGCCTGGTTTCTGGAAATCCTGTACTGACTTTGTTTTCCTCCCCAGGTTGTGAAATGTGCTCGCCGGAAGCGTTTCAGGCACAGAGGAGCCAGCTGGTGGGGTTGCTGGTCTCGGGATCCTTGGAGGGCTTCGAGAGCATCCTGGACTGGCTGCTGTCCTGGGAAGTCCTCTCCTGGGAGGATTACGAGGGCCTCAGCCTCTTGGGCCAGCCTCTTTCTCACCTGGCCAGGCGCCTCTTGGATACTATCTGGAAAAAGGGTACTTGGGGCTGTCAGAAGCTCATTGCAGCTATCCAGGAGGCCCAGAACAACAGCCAGTCCCCTGAACTGCATGACCGCTGGGACCCTGACTCACTCCAGCCAACCGGGGACCTGCTGAGTCATCGGCCAGCCCTCGTCAGGAGACTCTACAGCCATGTGGAGGGCGTGCTGGACCTGGTGCAGGAGCAGGGCTTTGTCAGCCCGTATGAATGTGATGAAATCAGGTTGCCAATCTTCACGTCATCCCAGAGGGTAAGGCACCCTGTCCTGGGTCGACTGGATTCACAGGAAGTGGGTGCTTAGTCACCAGGACACATTTGCTCTCGTGAAGTCAGCTCTATGGGGTAATTTGGTCCATAGGACTCCCCCTAAAAGTTGATTATGGGCAGTGTACTCTGATTTCTGAGAGTAAGTGCTCTGTGGAAGCCAAAGGCTTGGATTCTGGAGCCAGAATGATGCAGGTTGCAGGTCAGCTCTGTGTGGCTTCAGGCTTCTCTATGCAACTGCCCCATCCTCTGTCTTTCCCATCTGTATCCTCAAACGCAAAGCATTGATACTTGTCATGTAGTATCCACCCTACGAAGTTTTTGGGAGAGTCCCGTGAGTTAGTTTGGGGAGCCCTGAGAATGGTGTTTGGCACATACTGAGCACACATTAATTTTTCCTTTGCATGCTATTATTTCTCTTCTCAATGATTCTTTACTCGTATACTTTTAATGCTGTCTGTTTTAAATTAGTAGCTCAACAGATCATAACACTTCATTATATTGACTCTATATTTAATAACTACTACACATGCTGTGAACTAATATAGTTTAAATATCCTCTTAGGCTTTCTGATATGAAATTGCACTAGATCATAGATGTTTGGAGTTGGAATACATCTGCTCCTGGAAATGCAATGATTCAACAGAGGTTGCAAGGACAGAAAAGTGTCTGTTGGGTATTTTTGAAACTCTTGGTTTATTTCCAAACATTGATCCATAGGTCTCCTTTGAGGCAGATGGAACAGTCTTCACTTTAGGGCTGGGCATGGCTCAGTGGTGATACAACTGTACCTACATGGGCAAGGTCCTGAGCTTGTGTCTTGGGACCACCCCGGGCATGCTGACTGAGGCTGGGCTGTCTGAGGCTGGGATGAAGACCCCTTTCTCTCTTTTTTTCTCTCTCTCTTCCCCCTTCTTTGTTTATCTTTCTTTCTCATGAAAGAATTCATAAATAAACTTAAGCCAAATCCCACTTTATAGATTAGGGAGCTGAGGTGGGAAAGTGGGTTGAGTAAGTTCACAGTAGTTACTGAGAGGCCAGTACTGGACTTGGGGCCTTGACTCATTCATTCTCATTTTTTTTTTGGAGAGGTTTTTGCTGTTGGGCGCGTGGTCTCACCAGACAGACAGAGACAGACAGAGAGACAGAAAGTGAGAAATCACCCCCCAGGGGGGATGGCCATGCTGAAGTCCCTTCTCCTCTGTTCTACTCTTGGGATCTTGGGCACACACGCACATGTGTCCGGCATGAGTTTTAAGCCACCGGGTCCTGGACACGAACCGCGGTCGACTACATGGGAGTCCAGTGACATAGCCATTACGCTAACTGCTGGTTCTGACTCATTCATTCTTCATTAATTTATTCATCTGTATATTTGGCCAGAATCTTACTATGTGCCAGGTTTTGTCTTCAAGTTTGTTGTGCTTTGGCATAGTAGGTACTCAATAAATATTTGTTGGTGAAATAAATGAATTATTGAATACATTGGAATTACACTGCAGTGTTGGGATGGGCTGGGTTGTGAGACCTTAGTTTATATTTTTGTCTGCTTAAAAAAAATACATATATACATATACATATACATTTAACAAGTATGTTAAGGTAAGTCTAGGTTAAGTTTGGTAAAATAAACTAATATATTTTCAAGGCTGATTTCTAGTTGGGTTGAGGTGGCTACATTTTGAGAGCAGGTATGGTGTGGTCTCCTTTAATTTATATGAAAACCTGCTATTATACCCCAAATACCACTTTCTTGAGCCTGACTCCAAGGGGATTACAGAAGACATATTACTTATTGTACCTACTTTGATGTTTCTTATGATCTTCTGGGGGATCCAGTTAATCTACCTGAGAAGTTACAAGATTAGGTCTTGTCATTTTTGATCAAGTATTCAGTAGTATGGTCTGTCTGGATGCTCTAAAGGCTTTGTAGTAGGTAGCCTAGATTTCTGGGACTCAGTGGAGACAGAGGATGAATAGATGAAGTATTTGGATTGATGAAGGAAAAAACATGGAGTAACACATGGGTAAATGCCGGGGTCCAGCCTCAGCGGGGGTGGGTTGACTCGTTGGAGGCGACGCGGGAAAGAAGACCGAGGCCTCGGTGCCTTTTCATGCACGTCCTGAGTCGGACACCCCTCAGAGATCGCTCTCTGAAGAATGACCACTACTAGAATTATTGTGCCTTTTTATTGAAAATGTGTTACATGCAAGTAAATGGGTGAGGGGCTTTGTGTTCTAATTATCAGCTCATAAAGTTTTAGCAATAGGGAAAATGGTTCCATTCAGAGTTGGATTAAGGGTGGGTCTAGTGCAGTTCTGCAATTGTTCATTTGATGTAGGCGTCTTCATGGAATGCAGTTTCGGGAAAGCAGCTCCAGCAAGCAGAGATAATTATCAGCTGATGCAGCGCGGCAGCCATCTTGTGATTACTGAGCATGATAATGAGAAAAGAAAATCTCAAGTACAGATATTAGTTCTTATGGATCTCAATAAAGAATGGAACTTACATAATTTTATAGGGATCTAAAACTTAATTCAAAGAATCCTAATATATCTTAAAAGGGTAAAACTACTATTTACTAGGTAAGGGCAGGGACAGCTTTTTCAACTGGCGGTAAAGTGACTAACAAATTAATGAAGAACTTTAAAGTGAGTTTGTGGCATACTTAAAACGTTCTATTGTGCCTGTGGCGCCACCGTTATGTATTTTATTAGAACATTAGCCATAGTGGGGTGGGAGTGCCCTGGGCCTGTTTCGGCCTAAAAGATTATTCTTAAGCTTATGTTAAATGTATCTTGAAGGGCCTTCCAAAGGTCAAGAAGATTTCTGCCTAGATGTGACTTCAGCACACCCTCTATTGTGACCATGCCGGGGTGAAGCATTGTAATTAACAGTAGGTGGTCAGGGCAAAGGGGAGCGGTCGGGGGACTTTTGGGAAATTTTATCATATACTCAAGATGTATAAGAGAGCTATGTAATTCTTTTATAGTAGTATATTAGGGAGTCAGAGGGGGGTCGCTTCCCAGCAAGGCTACCACAGTTTCCGGAGCAAATAGCAAGCAGCCTTGCCGACATGCTAATTCAACCTAAGTTTTATTCCTAGGTCGGGGGAGGGAGGGCACACAGCAACGACCTTGCCAACGTTCTGACCCCACCTAAGTGTTACTTAAAGGTCAAAAGCTCAAAACAGATCCTGGGGCCCTACCAGGTCGAACTCCTCCAGGTAAAATACGACATTATTATGAAAATCATTAAATATCCAGTACCAAACAATACTGAGAATATTATGTATCAGTATCTGGGGGTGGTGGCCAATGTGGAACATAGATGGAAAACTACAACCTTAAATGTTTAGTTTAGGAGAGAAGAAAGGTGGAGTTTTATTGTGTTAAGAATCCATCCTAAGAAAGGGCTAAGTAGACAGCAAAAGTGAATATTGAGCTGACGGCACAGAGGGGATGGAGGAAACATATTCGAGGACTGTAGGAGATTACAAAGGGACTGCACTGCCTGAGCTTTCAAGTTTTAGAATCCAGTGCTCTCGAGCCTCCTCTGAGCTCCAGCATTCTGTGATGCTCTGATTTGATGGCCTTCCTGCAGTGGCTAAATTTCTGATTGCTTGTGGTTAAGCATTTGTGATGTGTTCAACTAACATGCTTCCCCTACCCCATTCACCAGTTTTTTTTTTTAAGAATTATTTTATTTAACTTAATTTATTTATTTTAATTTGACCAGAGAGGGAGGGAGGGAGGGAGGGAGGAATTTAATTTGATCAGAGAGAGACAGACAGAGAGAGAGAGAGAGAGAGAGCGAGCAAGCAAGCCACTAGGTCCAGGACTTGAACCGTAGTCGGCCGTGTGGGAGTCCAGTGCCCTTAACCACCTGCCACTTCCTCCCCACCACCACTCACCTCTTAATTCCTATAATGTGGTAGTTACCACTGACAAAAGGTAGGGGACTAAAAAATTCTATGTAATAAAACAAAATACAAGTGAAGGAATTAAATCCCTAGAATACTCATTGCTACTTTTATCAAGTGAGTGCTTACTCTATGTCAGGTACTGTACTCAATCTTTTCCTCATATTATCTCATTTAAATCAACCTACTACATACTTTCAAGGGTGTAATGTAACTGCACTGTTTTATAACAATAAGAAGTTGTCCAAATCACCTATCTGGGAAGTGGCCCAGCTAGAATTTGAATCCAGGCCTGTTTTTCTGCAAAGTGTGTATTCTTTCTGTGTCATAAAATGTGGGGGCTTTGTGTGATAAACTTGTTCAGTTGGGCATCACAGTTGTTAGGAAACCTAAGGCTGGTAACACCAGCTGTAGTACCAGCTGTCTGTCTGACTCATACAACTGCTAAAGTTGATAGGGCTGAGGTGTCAGACTGTGCTTGGCTCCTATCTCAATATTACCTTAAACATTTGAAAATTAGGAAATATACCATGCCTACAGAAGAGTGTATAAATTTCATATGTATGGCATAAACATATTCTTATCGCCCAAGTTATGAAATAGAATTCTACCAGTAGCTGGGCTCTTCTTCCATTGCAACTACAAGAGGTAACCACTAGCCTGACTTTGATGTTAATCATTCCTTTTTTTTTTAATAGTTTTTTTTTATCACATTTTAAAATAAATTCCCAAACAACTTATTGTTTTATTTTGAAACAGTGAGCAGTGATCCAAACATAACCATGTAAGAAAGGGTAATGCTTAGATGAAAGCTCCCATACTCTGGTTTCCCTGGGAGTGTCCTTTCTGAGAAGTTGGTGGGCAAGATTATGAATGAGTCTGGGGAAACTATAGGGCTCATTATAGCTGGAGGACCTGGTAGGGCCTATGTGAGTCAGATGCTGAATGTCCCATAGAAATATGGTTAGCAGAAGTGAGCTACTCTGTACACTCAGTTGTAAGCTTGCCAAAGGCTATTCTAGATCTTAAGAACTGGTCAAGGCTAAACACTTCCATGGGGTT